TATTTAGAAATTTTCTACCTCATCCCTTGTAGCAGCTGAAGTAGAGAGACTAAGGCTCTTGAAATTAGTGGGTGGCTCTTGATATTTCAAATTATATGTTATGGAGGCAAATTAATAATCTCTGTTTTTCAGTGAGTGGTGGAATGAGGCTCAGAAGAATAAGAAATTGAGACCTAATCCACATGATACCAAGGTCAAGAAGAAACTACGGGAGCTGCAGCTTTCTTCAGGTTTCCCAAATCCAGCAGTGGCAGAAGCGTACCTGAAGCCTGTGGTGGATGAGACAAGGAGTTCATTCACCTGGGGGAAGCCTGACTTAGAGCAGATCAGAGAATATCCTTTTACTGTATGGTAGGACTTGTTAGGTAAAAGTATTCAAAGTACATAAAGTGTGTTAGTGAGTAAGTAATGGAGTGGTAGGTTCTTAACATCTCTTGGGTGTGAGGGAGCCCCAGGCCTGTCCGCATATGCTTTCCTAAAATGACACCAGCTCTGGAATGCGAGGGAATGCAGCCATGCTTGTGTGGTACTCAAGACTTCACTGCCCTCCTGAGAGAGTGGGCTCCTTTCGATTTGTGTGGAAATAGAATCTTGTAGCTGGCCTAACTAATTTGTTTTGATCCTCCTGCTTCTGTAAGTGTCCTGTGCCTGTTTCTAGATTTAGAGTTAGTAGGATTGTTTACATACTCTTGATGTATGTTTGCCATTTTTCATGAATAAGTCAAAGCCTAATCAGAAATGGTGTTTCATTCTGCACTTTATCCCAAATATTCCATGCATTTCTTCCAGTAATGTCTTTTTGTTGCATCTGTTGCAGTCTGAGCTGCACCGGATTGTTGAAAAGTAGATGGCAATACATGCAGAGCTAAAAGTGTTTTAAACAGTACATGGAATTTCCAGTGTGTGCAAGTGTAAAAATAAGGTTTATTTATAACTGTTTTGTCTTATGATGATACTGTGTAGCCAAAATGAGTTCTGTCTTCACTGAAACATGCTTTTGGAAATGTTGATATTAGAGAAAAGGTTTTGCAACTATTGGAGATGTAACAGTGTGATTGTGATGCATAGCGTAATAATGCAAACGTCCACATAAGCCAACTGTATTAACTTACAGTCTTTGCTCTGGTTTTGTAGTAGAAAAGCTTTTGAACTGGGGCAACTTTCCTCCAGACATTGTTTACTTGAGGAATTTTCATTTTATGTGTTTACAGAATACTAGTTAATAGCCATTTTGTAAAGTTCCTTAACTTTCTGCACATTCTGTAAGGATCACTTTGGCTGGACTATAGCGAAGATAGATGGAATCCTTTTGCCTGTGATGAAACAGCTGAATGTGCAGCAGGTAAAGTATAAAACCTATAGTTTAGGGCAACTGGAAAATTGCGAGAAGCATTTTAAAATTAAGAGCAAGGATTTAAACTAAAATATATTTCTCAAAAACTGGGCTTTGGTCATATGTTTTATAATCTTTATGTATGTATATTTAAATCATAAAACTTACTTCTCCAGGCTTCATTTCTGTATGATTTGAGTGTGCTGCGAGGGACTCTACATAATTTCAATTGTTGGTCTAGATTTTATTATCTATCAAGCACCTATCCCAAGTCCAGGCTACTGTTTCTTCTGGACGTAGCTGATGTTACAGGTGCCTCAAGCAGCTTCAGTAATTTTAAAAGACAGTGTACTATCTCTAAAAAGTATTTATAAAAATGCCCTTAAGGTTTTGGTGAAGTGACACTGCCCATTTGATACCATACATATCCTTTGAGGAGGAGTGCAGGCTGAACTGTTGAGCAAGTGCCCATTAATAATATTATTCTAATTTCCAGATAAATGTTCTGTCAACTTTAATGAAATCTGAAAGGGAATAGTGATGCATACTGTGAAAACTGTCAAAGTCAGTTGTAAAACTGATCACCAAGTCTCAGGCTCTTTTCTCCTTTTGTCATACACAAGGTAGATACGTTGTCTAAACCAGTGTTCTAGGTTCTCTGTGTCACTCAAAGGACTGAAAGGTACCAAACCCCATGATTAAATACATATACTTTTGGGTTGACTGGAGCATCCTTTGGAAGCGTCTATTTCTCTAAGACAATTCTAGGGAAAATACAGAGGACTACGTTAATCTATACAGTAAGCCTAGCTGTGGTTGAATAGAACAGATCCATCCTGTATGACTACTTCAAGTTCTACTCTTCGTAATTATGCTGTAGCAGCATGTGGTACAATGAACTTGAGTCAAATGACTGTGTTGCACTTGCAGGCACAAACGTAAAGTGCACTTAGAGCATTTACTTAGTAAACATTCTGCTGTTTTAACAGCTTGAAGCTAAGGATGTGTTTGTAAGGACATCCTTAAGTGCACTACAGAGGTTCTCTGTATTAGGGTTGAAAATAGCAACGTATGTCTAATCATCAGCAGCACAATGTTTATGAATTGCACTGATGGTTGCTAATTATTTGGTTTCTGTAAAGATTTTTGTATAATTTATAATAAGGTATAGGCTATTACTTAATAATGCATCTTGCTGTTCACATCTATGTGCACATGTATTAATTTCATTAGTCCTTTGTCCTGCTTTAGTTTTCGATGGCTTATAGTATAGCTGAGATAAAAACTGAATTACTGTCACAGAAACATTCAAAGGTGTCTCTCTGTTTTATTTTTGGTAGACTCAGCTTCGAATTGATTCATTCTTCAGACTAGAGCAGCATGAAAAACTAGCTATTAAAAGTCAGAGACTGCGCAGAGCTGTGACTTGCCTGAAGAGAAAGGAAAAAGAAGCAGACGATGCCACTGCTGTTATAGAGATGGAATTTGAACAGCATGAGAAAACGAAAGGAGAAGGTACCACAGGCTGTGCAAATCTAGCTGTGGCAACAAAAGCCCAGAGGGGAAAGAGAAGAAAACATTCAGATTCCAGAAAAGAATGTTTATACGGAGGTGGTTTTATTGGAAATTTGCATCTTTCAGAAACTTCTGGTGACTCCTCAGAGGAATCAGAAAGCAGAGATTTAGGCAAGAGCAAAAGGAGGAAAAACACCCCTACAATAGAGACTGCAGACCATAAAGAGAAGAAGGGGTGCAGTAGCTCAAGTGATGAGGATGAAGACCTGGGAAATGTAGTCATGGTGACTGCCAAACCTGTGTTTGAGGGCAGAAAAAACAAGTCACGGGGCAAGAGAGGAATAAGAAAGAAGAAGTCTTAAAGAAGAAAAGTAATGAAAAGGACAGACTTCTGTGGGGCTTTTGATTTAAGCTTTGTAAATACTCTAATGAATTTTTGATAAAATATAATAAATTATCCCTATTTGTTAAGTACTTGTCATGCATTTTCTGTCCAGACCTTAAATAGAAGGGATTCTAAACAATGAAACAACTAATTTTAGCACATTTACTCATAAAGACCTAGATTAAACTTGACATAAGTTTTCCGGATTCAGATTTTAATATTGAACCAATATGTGATGTCCAGTCATTTACATTCTGAGTTAATTGTTAAAATCACCTGCAATCTGTTGCTTCCTTAACATAGAACTTAAATGAAGTTTTGAAAACTACCTGGGTGATTTCTAGGTGTTGCAAGACAGAAAATAAGTTCATTTAGTTTTTTCTTTGCCCTTCACTAAGCCTGTCTTGAAAGTTTTGTGCCCAAAGTAATGTTGTTTATTGAAGAGAGATGATGCAAACTCTCATAAAATCTCAAGGAAAAACACACAGTACAGTAAGTCCTTATATAATCCGATGTGCAGTAATTGTTTATGTTCTGAATGTAAATGTCATGTTTCCAGATTTGGATTTCCATGACCATGTTGAAAGACAGTATTTGTTTGCAAAAGTAGTGTTCAGAGGTACCCACTGGTTGCAGCACTCACATCAGATTAATTTGTGGGAGACAATGTGTTGGGCTCAGACTTCTCACACACCTCACCTCTTTGAATGATTGTAGAATTTATTTCTACCTCCTGTGGATTAAGGAGGAAAAGCACAGTCTTACTTTTGTTCTCACATTGCATTTTAGTCCTTCTTACCTTTTTTTGGTCTTCTCATTTGGTATTTCTACTGCGTTTCTCATTGTTTCATTGTTTGAAACACAAGTCCATATATTTAAGTTTTGTATGAGACATTATCCTCTCCTAAAAGGATGATGGGCTGAGGTGAACTTGGTGCGATTTGGCCCTCACAGTTGCAGAGAGTCTAATACTTCATGTTCAGTTTATATTGGGCAAAACTGATCCTCTTTGATACTACTTTTCTAAAAGATTATAACATTTTAAGTAAATTCCCAGCCTATACAGCCAGTTTACGGCACTGCTTTGTAAATCACCTACTAGAATCATAGAATCATAGAATTAACTGGGTTGGAAGAGACCTTCGAGATCAAGTCCAACCCTTGATCCAACCCCATTGTGATTACTAGATCATGGCACTCAGTGCCACATCCAGCCTCAATTATTACTGAATTATTACTGAATTTTACTTTGAAAGTGTGTATCAGGTCTTGGTGAGTTGTTTAATAGTTTATAAACCTAGAAGAGCTTCCCTCAATTTCTTCTGCTGAGTATGGTAAAGTACACACACCTTCACTTCTCTGTAGGGCTTGTTTAGTATTTTTGTATGATAATTTATTATTTTTCTGTGATCCCTAGACACAGTTGAGGTTGAAGTCTTAATTTTTCTAAAAAATGTGTGAAGTAAGAGACAGTTCTTGTCCTGAATTTGTTACACTCTAAAATAGAGAAGCCTTAGTAGATAGCTGTAGTTCTTCTTATGGCAGTATTTGCAATCTGTTGAGCAAATAGACATTTGGAATATAGAGGAGTGTGATGCCTTAAAATCTATATTATAAAAATTGTAATATAACTCACTACTACTTTTAGTTTGCTAAGCATCTTTGTATTAGATTCCTAAAATGCTGTGTAACATTTCCTGTCAAGAATGCCAAAGAAAATAATCAAAGAAATAATTTTCTGACAATTTCAAGTATAGAAAGGAAAAAAGCTGTTCTTTAAGGCATCGTAGGTGCACAAAAAATATTGCACTCATCATGTCACTGACCTTTACAATTTTATAATACCATCTAATTACAATATCTGGACATTACTTCATTGGTTACACCCATCCCCAAAACCGTCCTTCCCATCATCCCACCCTTTCCACACCTCCCAAATCTGAGTTGGTGGTCTCAAAATGGCAACCCCTTCCTCTCCACTTTAATCTTCCTCGTCCTCTGTGTCCTCCTTGGAACAGCTTCAAGGCTTCTGAGTAGTTTTGACTGGTTATATCAAGTGGTGTGCCCCTGTTATGTCTCATTTTGAGTACATTTCTACAGATAAGGTGTTTTTCCCCTTGCTAAAGTCTTTGTTGAAATTCATCAAGTGGTGTGTGGATATTTATGCAGATTGACAGTTGTCTCATGGGGTAAAGCTGGGTAGGATTTTGGGAGTTGTGTTGTCACAGTTCTGCATTCCAACGTGACCACCCCTGCTGCAGATGCACCTCTGCCCCTTAGTAAATTTTTCTCTGTGCTTTGGGAGACCCTTTTGACTGAGGAATGACTTTGTGCTCTTGGGTTACTTTTTAGTAACACTGAGTGTTACATCCTGCCACTATCTATTTTGTAAAAAATACTCCCAAGTTGGTTACTTTGTTGGTTGGAGCTCCCTTGAGTGGGTGACTGGTGCTGTTATGAAATCCACTCGCTTACGTCAGGGACGTGATGTGCGGTGCCCTCTTTGTGTTCGTGCTGCAGCTGTCAGGATTTATTATTGCTCCCAGCGTGGGGATGTTGGCAATGTGTGACACAGGCTTCGGGACACGCTCCTGCCTGAGGCTGCCCTGGGTGGAAAGTGAGCGGGGCAGATAAGGACTTTGCAGTTCGAGCACCATCTTTGGAAAGCTGCAAGAGATTCAGGTAACACTGACTGAAATGCGGTGCATGCCAGTGGTATTTCACTTGTCTGTGTCTTATACTCTAAATTATTTTGTATCCTTTGCTTTAAACAGCAAAACTGAGCTGTTCTGTGCTGTTTAGTTGTTTGTTGCACCCTTGAATGTGTATGTTAAACCCAGACAGGTTGCTATGTTGTTCAGTGTACCTCAAAGGATATTTTTAGAATGATGTAAAAAGCGTAGAGGATCACGAAATAAAAAGGCTTTCCCTTGTAGGGTGATTTTACTGTGTAATGTTGCTTGTCCTTTAGATTGCAAAAGGACTTATTGTTAACCATTTCTTTTGTCTTTTAATGGGAAGAAAATTTGTCTTTTTTTATATTTCTGAGGTAGACAACAAGCTATTGGATGTGTGTAGCATTTTCTGCTTAATGTCTCAGTAGTTTCTTATGCTACTTGTTATTCTGAAGATGCATATAAAGACTTCGAATCCCATTGAATCTCTTTTCCTTATCTAATGATATTGCTATAGCTAAGTTCATGTGCAGACACAAAAATAATGTCAATAATTTTGTTCTAGGTGTTACAGTAACATGTATAAACCTCCATAGTTATTTTTCACCTTCAAACAAGTTAATGACCGCTAGTATTGTAGTAGTAAAGTTAAACATTAAATGTATGTCTTTGGTAGGGTGAAGTCAAGAGGGCGTGGTGCATCCTCTCTAAAAGGAAAGGGCTTTTCCATACTGTCCTTTTTTCACCTGAAGTTTTGAGAGGAAAACCTGCCTAGGGCTTTGCACTGTGAGGAAGATTTCTTGATATTCAACAAATTTTTTTACTTTGGTTGTCCTTTTTTTTTTTTTTTTTCCCCAGCATATAGAGATATTCCTTCACCCACTGCCTTATTTAATTGCATTCCTATTGGGTCTTTAAACATGTGTAGATTATTAACTGTATACTGTCTATAATCATTCCAGCAAAAATCAGTTAAATCTGCACATAACAGTGTAAATTTAAAAATTAAATTAAAACTTCAAAAATTATCAAAGCACTGAGGTTTTTTTTTTTTTCTTCCTGTGGACTCAGTGTTCTTCTTAATTGTAAAATATCAAGAATTGGAGACCATTGATTCTGTCTACTTTTCTGCAGACATCAAAAAATGTATTTCCCTCTGTCATACTTTTCCTATTATTTTTTCCTCTTGAGTCTGTGTGTTCTGTGACTGTTTATATAGGCACATGTGCTTTCTGTTTAGCATGTTATTTGTAGATCCTGCTTCCTACTTATTCTCATCTGCAACTCTTAGTAATAGGTTATTTCCCTCTTTCCTTCCCTTCAAAGCCAATTTATTCAAAAAAGATTAGATCCTTTAGGTACAATTTTTCATGTCTTTCAGACACTTGTTGCTACATTTCCTTTCAATCCTTTAGGAGCCTGCAAACCCCGATTTTAGTTTATTCTAATTTTAAGATTTCATAAAATAGTTTAAAACATTTGTCAGAGCTCTTTATCTCTCTCATTTTTTAAAAAATCTGCTCTTTTGCCTCTTTGAGACTATAACAGTTGAACTAGTTTGCTTCTGGTTCTTTTATTCCTTGAATATTGATACTTATGTGTCTACATATTTTTATTATCTATTTAAGTAAATTCTAGCATAATGTATGTAAAAGGAATTTTCTTTTTTAATTAAGTGTTTGTGGGGAAAAAGAAATAAGGTACTTTAATTCAGGTAAGCTTGTGTTTCTCTGTCCCAGGGTTTGTGGCATAGTATGGATCTGACACCATCACAACATAATTATCTACAAAATGGTATGGTAAGAGAATTGGAAAGACAAGAAGGTAAAATGTTTCTTATTTCATTATTTTTCCTTTTTCACTTAAGAATATTGTTAAGTATAAGGAACAAAGTGTCTGGATGACAATGAACTATCTTCTCACTAATTTTTTCTGAAGAACTGTGTTTATACCACCTGTGCAGAAAATACAACGGATAGTGCTTTTGTATTCTAGCTATGCAGTAGGCGTTTTAAGTATGTTATACCTGCATACTCTTGATCTGGCAGTTTCCTACCAGTGCCTGGCATCTGTCCTCCAGCTACTTGCCTGTGACTGGTTCCAGGGAATGAAGCTGTGACTATGATCAAGCTATTCAGAGAGGTTTGTTTACAGGCTGTCAGTTAGGGAGAATTGGTTATTACAAGCTTGGTTTCTGTCTAGACAGTCTCAGACCTAATCTTTCCAAACCCTCAGGGGCTACTGACAGCTTTTCCTCCTCAGCACTTTCATGGCTGCACGCCTTTCAAGATCCTAAAGCATTTGTAAGTAGTCCCCTTTTTAGCAGTCACCAGGAGGAGACAAGGTTTTAGGGCAAGTGCATGTATTTTGGGGTGGAGTCTAATTATGTTCTACAGCTGAGTGTGAAAGGAAGAAGGGTTTAAAATGATTTTATTTTTCTTAATATTTTTGTTTAAAATCTCAGTGAGTTGTGGTCCATGTAGAGGCAGGCTTTTGGGTTTCTGCTTTTTCAAGAGAGTTCAGTGTGCAGTTTTGCTTTGCTACCTGTTCAGTGAGGCAAGGTGGAGCTTTGAGCATGACTGCAATACTTGAAATGAACTATTTGTTCATTGAAGCTAATGTTAGTTATTTCACTTTCAAATACTTTTTTTGGAGTACCTGAAAATGATGACCTTCTCTGAAAGCTGATGTTCCACAAGAGGATGGCTGATAGGGATTGGTATAGGTTGCTATTCTACAAAGCACCGCTCAAGTGTCCTAATTTGGAGATTTTCTTTAATGTAATTCCCTTTTGTGTAATTCTGATTAGAAGAAAGAGCTCAAGTTGATCCTATGCAATGAAGCATGATTATTAGGGAAAGAATTATCTAGAAGAATAAATGTTAAAGATAGATCTACTAAAGACTGAAATATTGATGACTGTCATTGTGTATTCCATAGTACACGAGAGCTGAGGTAAAGTTCCATAGTAATTTCTATGCTGCTGAAAGCTTCACTGTCTGATATAGATATTCTCTTCATGCAGGATTCAGGGCAGGGAACAGTGAGGCTGCAGGTAATTTCTTTAGGTTTTGAATTATGAAAATAAATTGAGTTCTAGGACATTAGGTCAATGTAAGCAAATTAGTCAGCAGAATATTTAGATCAAATGCAGAAATACATTCCACTTAGCTATCAGAGGAACTGTGTTGACAGCAATAACAGCTGGTTCTCTTCCATGTCTAGAAACACTATTTTAAGAGAATAAGGAGGCATGAATGGAAAATGGAATACCTTTACAGTTTCATTTGACACCATACTTTGGCATCTTAAATTCCACGCCAGGTTCTGGAAAGAAAGGGTGCTAAACCTGCTGTATGGAGATTTACCTGCTTGATCACTCTGAGCCTGTGCCTTTCCTATTCTCATCCTTTTTCTCTATTGCCTTCACGTTCCTATTTCATTATCTCACCTACCCAGTCTCAATATCTGTTTCTCAGGGTTCTTATTCCAGTTCAGCTTCTTTGCAAATTCCAGTCATGGGATCATAGAATCATGAAATGTTTTGGATTGGAAGGGAACTTAAAGACCATCCAGTTCCAACCCCTCTGCCATGGGCAGAGACACCTTCCACTAGACCAGGTTGCTCAGAGCCCCATTCATTCAGGTCATTAACACTTTCATGGATGGGACATCCACAGCTTCTCTGGGCAACCTGTTCCAGTGTCACACCACTCTCACAGTCTGAGCTCTTTATCTTTGGTGCCTTCCCCTTTGCTTCTTAATTAACTCATCATAAGTTCTTCAGTTTAAAACTCCTTATTTTTGTTCATGATTTCCATTACTACTTGTTCTCAGCTTACAGGTAGGTTCTCACCCAGTCTGATCTTTCCTCTTGTGTCTTTATCCAATCAGTTCTCCACATCCTCATCATTAGATATCTCCTTTCTTTCCTCACATAATTTCTCAGGATCATTAGCTTTAAGTCTCCTTGGCTAAATGTTTCTGAGATCAGATTGTAACACTCCCTTCCTAATCTTTTGGGACATTAAATTACTTTACTCCAATTACATTACATAAATTCACCCCAGAATAATTTTATGTCTGAGACAAAAAGAGGAGAACAAGTTTGCAAGGCATACTTGTTCTTGACAGTCCATCTTTGCACTTCACTTGGCCAGGGCTTAGTTTTTAATCCATAAATATCTGAGAAAATGCTGACCTGGTAACCTTCTAATAACTCCTGACACTTTAGAAGGGGCATGCTCCTTCTACTCACCCTGCTTGACAGATATCCTAATTGATGGCAATTCTTGCCACCATTTCTAATGTCTTGGTGAAGCCCAGAAAGGTGCCTTAAACAGGACATACTTGGAATGGAGCAAAGTGAGAATCAGCCTAACCCCGTAAATTAGAAATTAAGATATTCATCTGGGAAGAGGAGTGAGGTAGCAAGCATCTCATTCCTATTTCCTGGGTGACTTCTAAGGATACTTCTTCTCTTTCTCGTTTCCTTCCCTGCTGACACTTTTCCACTGACTTCAGAGACCTTGCTATAAACTGTGAAAAATGTCCTGGGACCTGAGCATGGAGCCTAAGCCTGCCTTTTCACAGCTGAGTGCCCAATTTGTCATTGGGCTTTTCCTTGCTTGTTGTCCTTCTGGCATGATTCTTGCAATCCTGTTTTTCTGATGGCCCACCTCTGGTGGTGATGGAGGGGAAGGGAAGCACCTGGTTCTGTAGGATGGCTAGAACACACCCCTTGTGTGAGTGAGTTGGGAATTTGAATTCTTCTGAGGAAGATCCAGCACTCAGTTCCTCCATTTTCTGATTCCTCAGTGACTGAACCATTCTCTATATAGTGGACTTTGCAATTAAAAGAGCTAGTTTAATAATAAGATCATTTATACTATATAGAAATGACACTTTTGCAATATCTTCTCACACCATCTGACTTTTCTTTCACCTTCCTTCTTTTCATTTTTATTCTTGACTCTTTGCTTTGAATTCTACTTCTATCTTAAGAACCCCCCCAAAAAAAACCCAAACCAAAAATAAATGAACCCAAAACCAACCAAAAACCAAAATCATAAACAAACATATAATCTCTTACATTAATTCTCATCCTAAAAGCAGTAACACCTACACACAAACCCCCAACTCATAGAAGTCACACCATTCTTACAGTAAGTTATCTCTCAGCTCTTTTGTTTGAAAGTGGAAGCATTCAAGTACTCTAGTAAACATCAGTAAAAATTCATTAATTTAACACTTCTCTGTTCCTTTTCTCTCCCCACAACAAGTAGACATTGCTAAGCTCAAGTGGAAACTTCTTGTGTATGGATAGAGCAGAAGTTGGAGGCAACACTCAACAAATAAATCAAAGCATACATTAACTCTATAGAGAACTCTGCAACTTATTCATCCCTCTCAGTCATGTGCACATCTTTCCTATTTTCACTTCTCTAGTCTTTGTAGTAGCTGCATTTTGACAAAAATTAATATTTTTCAACTGCTACCTGAGAAAGGAAGTATGGTTGCATAGATTGGTGTTTTTAGTTTACTTTCAGGTCCTTTATTCAAAGATACATTTTAGAAACCCAGAATTATTGGTAGGTGAAAACTGATGGCATTTTCTTGAGTCTCTTCCTATCCATCAGGAAGTTGGTTGCCTTTTATAAAAAACATTAAACTATCTAATTTAAGGTTACAGTCTTTTGTAGTCAAAGTCAAATAATTTAGTTATTTTTAGAGATTAAATAGCTGCAGAGCCTTGACCTGAAGGTGTTTTGAATGACAGACAAACATGATGAAGTAATGGGGGAAGTACTTCACACATTAGAATTCGTTATGTGTCCCTGAGATGGACACTACAATACTTCTATTTTCAGCCTTTTAATCGATTTTAAATGGCCTGTGACTTGGATAGGACTGGGATATCAGTGGTGTAAATTTCAAATTTACAAGTGCCTCTCAAGCCTGGGTAAATACATAGACTGGATACTGTTAGCATACCCCTCTTCAGTTCTTGTGTCCTCATGCTCTGAGCTAAGTGCATTTTGTCTTTTGACTGAGAAGAGGCTGCCTGTGGTGGCAGTTTTGTATTTCTACATTTCAAAGTATAAAATTTCAAGTATTATCTTACCGTGACGTAGTATCTCAGATTAATCAATATAATACACCTCTTCATTTCCATCACTTCAGCAGGTTGAACTTGTAACGAATGTACTGGAATACTAACACTTACACGATGATCTCTCTTTTTGTAGGTAGGGATGAAATAAGAAAAAATTTAACTGTCATTTAGACAAGTACTGTAATGATACTGAGCTTTATATTCTTAGAAAGGTATAGGTTACATCTGGCTTCTGTGAAGTCAAGGGCATGATTACATTTCCCTCCTAACTCCTTCCTTTAAGGGTCCTCAGGCTAGAATGGAATGAAATAGAAATAAGTGAAATGAAATAAAGATACTAAAGGGATACCACCTGAAATTTAGGGACTATTTTGTGATTCAGGGTTGTGTGTGTTTCCATGGAGCCATATGTAATGCTTGCAGGACCAGGGCTCTGATCCAGAGATATCAGTAGCTCAGTAAAAATTCTGAGATGCCAGTCCCTCAGTGTTGGGACCTTTATGTTATTTTTGGGGTAAATTTGGTCTGAGCCATTGGAAATACCCTCATGGATTCATAGGAATACCTTCTGATGATTTCTATCAGTAGAGTAATGCAACTCTTCTCCAGTCATCTCTTACAGAAATACTGGCAGATTTGTTCCCTCACTGATCTTTCTGCAGGTATCCTCTTGACTTTGGGATATATAGATAGCTATTTCATACATATA